CCGAGAGCTTTCTGTCCCTCCATTGAAAATGTATGTACGGTATACTGTCCTTGTCCAGAAAGGAAATAAAGACTTCATCAAAGTAGTCCATGTGACATCAGTGGGTTAGTTAGAATGTTTTGAAGCATCGCAAATACATTTTGGTCCAAAAATAACAAAAACTAGGACTTTATTCAGCATTGTATTGTCTTCCGGTTCTGTTGTGGATCCGCGTTCAGTGACGTAAGACGCTGCTGACGTGTGTCTGGTGTGTGTGTGTATTCTGGTTCTGTTGTGGATCCGCGTTCAGTGACGCCGCTGACGTAAGACGCTGCTGACGTGTGTCTGGTGCGTCCGTGTATTCGGGTTCAAATAAATATGGCTGGGCAAATAAATGCAAGTTTTCCTCTGTGTGGAAATCCTTAGACATGTTTGCGAAGATTGTTTTGTTTCCAACGTGCGTCTCCCTCAGACTGTAGACGAAGCTCGGGCGCACCAGACACACGTCAGCAGCGTCTTACGACCCTTTTCTTTTCATACATTTAAAAATGTAATTTATTCCTGTGATCAAATCTGAATTTTCAGCATCATTACTCCAGTCTTCAGTGTCACATGATCCTTCAGAAATCACTCTAATATGATGATTTGCTGCTTAAAAATTTGTATTTTATTTTTATCAATGTTAAATGAATGAAACAGTGAAATGAAATGAAAACAGTTGTGCTGTTTCATATTTTTTGTGGAAACTGTGATATATATTTTTTTTATTCTTTGATGAATAGAAAGTTCAAATCAATTGTACTCTCCTTTTGATTGATTTAATATGTCATTGCTGAATACACTTTATAAAAGAAATAGTGCTGTCAAACGATTAATCACGATTAATCGCATCCAAAATAAAAGTTTGTGTTTACATAATATATGTGTGTGTACTGTGTATAATTATTTTGTATATAAATGCACACATGTATATATTTAAGAAAAATATGTTATTTATACATAAAATGTTTATATTTATATAAAATATACATTATATATAGGCTACATTCAATTCAATTCAAATTTATTTGTATAGCGCTTTTCAAAAAATACACATTGTTTCAAAGCAGCTTTACAGAAAGTGCATTTCAGAAATGTACATTGAAAAAATACAATTAGTTAATCATGTATTAATTTAGGGCATAACATATCGCCGGCATCGAATCGTCTCTTCACAGGCGTTTAGTCATCTCATACATTCAGTCTATATACAGTATATACATGCAAATATTTCTTGAATACACATGCATGTGTGGGTATTTATGTATTAAAAATAATTATACACAGTACTCACACATATATTATGTAAACACAAACTTTTATTTTGGATGCGATTAATCGCGATTGATCGTTTGAGAGCCCTAAAAAATATCTTACCAACCCCAAACTCTTTCATAGCCATAATGATTTTTTATACTGTAGAAACTGTATATTTTATTCCCTACCCATCACAGAAAACTTTCTGCATTTTTTTACATAAAAAAAAAAAACATCACTTGGTATGATTTATAAGCTGTTTTCCGCATGGGGACCGAAAAAATGTCCCCACAAGGACAAGGATTTCGGATATTGCCATCTTTGTGGGCACATTTCGTTCCCATAATGTAGGGTTTACCAGGCCCCATATACTGTAAACACACACACACACACACACACACACACACACACACACACACACACACACACACACACACACACACTTCAAAGAGAAGCCAGTTCTTAAGTTGAGTAAGAAACTTTTTTTGCTGCACTGCAGTGCTCTCAGAGTCTGTGCAGCAGAACTTAGATAAACTTTGTGATATGCTTAATTAATGAAACTGGTGTGTGTGTATGAACATCTCAGACTTTTATCAATGCACACCAATCCATACTGAGGCCAATGGGCAAGGCTCGATATCACAGACCGAAGCGAGCAGACTTTGTTCGCTCAGGGTTCATTTCTGATCACATCTGTCCATCTTTCAGCCAGTTAGTCAGAAATGACTCATCTTTAAACTTTGACTTTGGTGGGAACATCCATCCCAGCTGTCTATAGCTACACCTATTCATTGAAATCTTAACATTTGATTTGGAAGTAGCAAATGTCGAGTTTCATATTCCCTGTGCTACTGAAATCTCGGACGTAAAAGAAACTCAGTTGGATTTGTTCATCTCATCTCTTACTGACCTCTAATTGATGTTGCCATCCGAGCCTAGTGATGCTCCCAATATAGCCCCTGTGTGTGTCCAATATTTGATTATGCGCCGGTCTCCATGGCACCACGGCCATTTGTGTGCTAATTAATTACCAGGCTTAAGAGCTTGTAGATAATTGGTGTGTACACCACCATCAATTCCATTAAAAAGAGCAATTATCACCTACCTTATGCAAATGATTGTTTCAGAGCCCCCCCCCCCCCCCCTCCTCCTCCTCCTCAAATTAAAAGGAGACACTTGAGTCTTGCCACTCTGCACTAGATCACACTTTCAATAATCATATTAATAGCAAGAAAAGTCTCACAGATACACGTGTGTGTCGTTTATCTTTAGAGACCGATGAAAGGTGCATGAAAAATCCTTCTGCAAAAAAACTGCACGGACTCTTCTGAGTGCACTATACAGTACACAGACGCGCTCAAATGAATCGTGAGGCGCAAACGCACACGTGTTAACTATCGCTGACCTTGGGCGACACAGGTGCTGGAGCAGATCTATGGCTCTCTGTGATGGGAAAAGTAGGTCACGGAGTTCTACCGCTGGAAATATAAAAACTGAACATCTTTGCCGCATGAGACCCCAACAGGGAAATCATGGCTAAATAAATCAAGTGTGTGCTGAGACCGATAGAGCTACACACTCTCAGCCCAGAGAGACGTGACTGACCATTAGCGTATAAATACACATACTTCCATCACGGCTCTCACGCAGGAAGTGACCTCAAACCCTACGGTGACAAATTAAGGACAAAGATGTTTTCTTTTGACCGACCTTTCCTAGTTTTCCTCAAGGTGAGAATGAAGGTTCTTGTGGTTGATATCGCTTAGATGAACAATGCTACAAACGGTGTTTTCCCTTCAGTTCAACTCTCTTTCTTTCACACATGCACACACTACTGCTTTTATTTCTTTATTTCTTGTTTTGCATTAATCTAAACCATAGATTTTGGGGGCCTTTTCTGAGCATTATTCAGGTCATATTTCACCCCAAAATCAAAAGAAACAACAAATTATATTTTGCTGAAAGAGTATAATTATTAAACTATTTTAGCTTTTGTTTTTGTATTATGATATTATTTTTAGGAAAATGTAGTACTCCCCCCCCCCAAAAAAAAAAAAAAACTCTGATAACCACAATGCAAAAAAATATTAAAATTAAAGATATTTAAATTGCAAAGTGATTTTATATTATGGTAGCATTTATTTTTTTATTATTATTTAATTTTAAATTTAACATTTTTATGAAAGTATTCAATCATTATTTTACTCTTTAGATTGTGAACATGTTGTGCCGCAAAAATAATGTGACAAATACGCAAATAAAAAAAAATGGCCCTAATAGCTATCTTCATCATCTTAAAATATTAAAATATTTCCCTTTTGATTTTGGGGTGAAATATGACTGGAAATGTGAGATTCACCCATTTATACACTGTAAAAAAAAACGTTAAATTTACAGGAAAACCCTGGCAGCTGTGGTTACCAGAGTTTTCCTGTTAAAAATACGGTAGTTTTAGGTTTTACAACTTTTAACCGTATATAATTTTACAGCAATAAACCGTATTTCATTATCTGATATAATGTTAATATACTGACCTTTTAAAGTATTAATATCTGTTTTTTTTCCATTGTAATACACTGACAGTCAACAGTCACAGCAGTGATAAGAGTCATATGGTCAACCAAAGCTCATCATAAGCAGCTCTTCCACAAGAAAGTTAATACTAATATACATAAGCTGCACAGTGTCATTCACACAAACATTAAACACCATCATGGTAACTTTTTGAAATTTAAAAAATGCAATAAGCATTAATTTAACAACATTAAATGTAACATAAAACCCTATTGTACATAACTGATTAGAAAAAAACTAAGGAAATTATGAAGAAACAGTTATTTAAAAACAAAATATATCAAATGTGAAGTGTCACGCAGGGAATTGTGGGAATGTCAATTTACATTTTTTCACTGTAAATTATACAATGACTTGTTCTTTTTCACTTCCAAAAACTGTAAATTTAATGGTATTTTACAGTAAAATTAAATTAAATGTACCATTATATATATCACAGTTATTTACCGTATATAGTAAGGAAACTTTCTGTTAACCAATTAACAGTTTTTCACAGTAGCATTTTTACAGTGTTTTACCGTTAAAATCACGATCATTTTTTACAGTGTACCATCTATAAAACAATGTCTACTAGTAGAATCATACAAACCAGACTCATTTTGCCATCTAAAAGTCCTAACCAGACACAAGAAGTGTGAGACATCTGGCTTTCCATTTCCTGCCTCCATCTATAGTGAATCCCACTGATCAACATACATTGTACAACACATATATTCTGATTAATAGGCATTATGTCACTATGCACAGTATCAGAGTTCAGTGTGTAAAGCAAAACACAGTACAATAAACTTTGCCAAAAAAAGCTTATTTACAGCATTACACATGAATTCTGAATCTCTTAATGCGCATACTGCATTTCTGCACAAATATAGGCATAATTATGCAATTTTGCCTCTACCCATCTCTTATTTATTACAGCTATATTCACTTGTGCAAACTTCTTTCAGTGCATCGTGAGAGCACTATTTACATTGGGAACTGTTATTGCAGAACATTAAATTGTCGTACAGTACATATTGAATGGGAAGGCGAATAATGAAAACTATCATCTGTGATGTTCATCTTCCTTTCTGGCTGCGCTCCTCCTGCTGGGTTCAGTTCAGAGAAGTGAGAGAAGAGGAACGAGGACACATCTTTCAGCGCACACTCACCAGAGTTGGGGTCCGAGTTCCCGTCTGCTTCGGTCCTCTTGTCCGGAGAGGTCTGCTCGTAGAAGTCGTCCTGCGCCTGCACCAGAGGGAGAGGGTGTGAGAGGAGCGGGACACTGCCCACGGGCTCATGGTCCCCCAGCCCACTGTCACTGCAGCTTTCCTGAGACCCGTCCGGCAGGTGAAACGTGACGCGCCGCTGAGACTACAACACCAGAGAGCAGAGAGACAGAGACACGCGTTAATGCTCGTCTCAGTGTTTCTCAATCAACCAGCCACTTTCAGCGGATTGATTATTAATTGCAAATTGAATGGGTATTTGTTCACTTTTATAGAAATGAACAAATAGGATGTTTTGGATTTGATTTGGTCAAAATTGTCCCTGAGCACAGCAAACACAAGTCACGTTTCACATTACGAAGCTCTCTTCTCTACAGAGCATGCGTGTGGTATCATGCACACAGTGATGCGCTCTGAATGCAGCGTAAAGCGCTAATGGTATGATGTGTTGTTCACTAAAATAATGACATAAAAGCATTTAATGTGTGTGAGAAGATGAGCAATTGTACTATATTTAGAGAGAGAGAAAGATAGAAGGAGATAGATAAAGTATATGCTGGTCAAAAGTTCGGGGTCATTACGATTATTAAATGTTTCTAGAAGAAGTCTCATTTAAAAAAAAAAAAAAAAATCTATTATTTTAGATATTTGCCAAAGCAACATTTTCATTTAGTTTAACTTGAAGTACTAAAACAACTAAAACTAAAGATGAATAATTAAATAATAATAACAATGCTGACAAAAGCACACAAAAAATACTACAACTTTTAAAACTAAAACAAATTCAAAATGTAATAAAAACTATAATAGTATTTCAATTGTACTAAAATAATATTGATATGATTACATTGTTGTCATTTGTAAGTCTCTTTGGATAAAAAAGTATGCTAAATGACAATATTTTTTTCTTCAACAATTTATTGATAATTATTATTATTATATTTTTCAGTGGTAAAATATATTATCTATATTACTATTTTCCTGTGATCAAAGCTGAATTTTCAGCATCATTACTCCAGTCTTCAGTGTCACATGATCCTTCAGAAATAATTCTAATATGATTTGCTGCTCAAGAAACATTTATGATTATTATCAATGCTGAAAACAGTTTTTTTGTGGAAAAATCAGGATTCTTTGATGAAGAGCAGTATTTATTTGTAATTTCTGTAACATTATAAATGCATTTATTGTCACTTTTGATCAATGTGATGCGTCCTTACCAAATAAAAGTATACATTTCTTAAAAAAAACAAAAAAAACCCTGACCTCAAACTTTTGAACGGTATTATTGTATGAGTTGCTGTAGGTATCTGCTGCCGGCTGGTTGGCACAGGCTCTGCCCACAGCGCTGGTAGGCGTCAGAGGAACACCACTGCTGGGTTGGCACGGCCCGGCCAGAGTCCTAGTTCACATGCCATGTGCTCCCACTGGGCACAGAGGCTCAAAGCAATGTGAAGCTTCCGGCATCACCTTTGAAACGGTTTGACTATAAAGCATGCGTGAACCGTCCTGCATCTGCAAGCTTTTGATCGTTTATGCAATGAATTATGCTTAATCCAACATGCCTGTCCGCATAACCTCTCCCACGTGATTCCACACATGCAGTTTTAACCAAGTTGCTTTTAAAAAAAATATTTCTGCATTGCTGATCTCAGTCACTTGCTAATTTTGAGCATACTCCAAGAAAATCTAATGACATTTCACAAAGTCCAGTACGGAGCTCTCCGCTAACCTTTCTGAGCGGGAAGTTGTCTTTTTTTGCAACATCTCTTTCGACTGTCTTAGACGACTCGGCTGTAATTATTGGCAAAAGCAAAGGTCAGCCAATCTCAGCGCTATGCAAATGACCTCATTATATAATTTGGGGCATTTCAGAAAGCAAGTGACATTCAATTAGAGGTATAAAAAAAAAAAACAGTAGCTTCAGCGCGACAGCCTGAGCTACAGAACACTTTAGCTGGACAAACTCTGTTCTCAGATCTCTGGCCTCAGAACTATTTCACTGACCTTTACACCTTTTGACCACTCGCATCACAAATTCATCATGCAAGAAAGCATGGGAAATATTTGCTTATAGTAATTAATGGGGGAAAAAGTTTCAGGCCAAGAGACAAACTGTCAATTTACCAGTCATTCGTTGCTTGAATTACCATGAAATAACAAGATATGCTGTGAAAAGTTATAGAATAAGTTCACAAGTGAAATAAACTCAATCGAGTTGGTGGCACGGCCTGTTTAAAGTGTCAAATTGAGTCTTTATCAAAGAGACTGCTTGAAAGTGTGTGCACATACTGTATGTACACTATTGTGTGTGTCTATTAGTTCATCGATAAACTATATCAAACCAATTACCTTGTTTAATGTAGCCAATATTCCATTTGATTTACTGTCCGTCCGGAGTCTGATTGACACCACTGCAACTAGTCTCACACACCATTTAGTAATATGTGCTCTATAAACCACAAGTCCTTTTATTCATATGATATGCTTGGGTTCTCCCAAAACCACACGATATATTAATCTCTCATATCACAATACGATATCATCAAAGCAATATTGTGTGTAGATCACCTTACAGAGTGAAATACTACACCTTTCTAACCTGAAGGATGTCCCAGTGTGATACGCAGAACGCATTGGTGTGCAAACCAGCATGAAATGAACACACAGGTATGTGATCACACAGTTCTATTATAAAGTAGATATTAATGAATCATGGTTGCTTATACTCCTGATGTTTTAAATATCAGTTGATGCATGAATGCATGTGTGTATATATGTAAAAAAGGACTTTCTGGTAAGTTTACACCACTTTTATTATTGATTGCTATTAGGATTTGAAGAGAGTTTCAACCAGTATAACAAAAAGTGCTTATAAAAAACAATGCCTACCCTAGCATCATATCTAGCAAAAAACTGTATGCAATTATGCTTCTCATATAAGTGTATAGTTTCTTATTTTAGGACAAATACGCTTATCTACATATTCCTCGTATTAAGCCACCAGAAAATAAATATGAGGAATTGTTTTTGTGACAATTCGACATACTGGCTGATCTCGAGGGACACATTGACCTGCGCGGTTTATCAAAAATATGCAAAGAAAAACAGCTGAATAATCCCATTTTCAATGGTACGAAAATATATTTTTAATAAAAGGGTGCAAAATACAGCGTTATGGCCAGTAAGACATGTGTATGGTACATTTTCTCAAATCCCAAAAAGTTAATACAGGACCCCATGTGCATCCGCCTCACACTGAAAGTCAATGTGGGCATATCTCTATGTGTGTGTGTTTGTGCGTTTGCCCAGCAGTCACTCACTGCTGTATTAGCATAAGACCAGCTTAAACCTTCGCCACTGCCAATTTACACGCAATCATGGCTTATCATGCTTGTCAGCCCATATTAGCGGCGTGTTTTTATATTGTAACGGGCCAAACGCGCTGGCGACGGCACCGGCGCTAAGCTAACACACTCGCTTTCAGCTAAGATGTTTGCCCTCGTCAAAGTCCACAGAATCAGTGTCACAGAAGTTTCCCACTCAAAGACGCGAGACCCGATCATGCCGCCCGGTTCCCTCACTCGGGGCTCAGGAGCGAAGAAAGAAAAGAAGAAAAAAAAAGAAAGTGGACGCATCTAAAGCACTTTTCAAAAAAAAAAAAAAAAAGGAGACATCTTTGGCTGCGAGTAAATAGGCAATTACGGCGTGCATAAACAAATCAGAGAACGTGCAGATCTTTAATGAGTTACATTTCCTACATTTCAGGCTTATGTCAGTTTTTCTAAGGAGGAATTTCAGGGCTTGCTTATGAGTGCTTCACATCCAGTAGAGTAGTGCTTAATGGATTTGCGTTAAGTCTGGGTTTAACCTAGCCTCCTGCTCGGCAAAAAGTCATCGCCGTCTGAGGACTGTTATCGCGGTTTAGCGGCAGATCAGGTCTCTGTGTAGAGATTAGCACCAGAGTTTGCTGGAACTTTCCAGAGAATGTCACAAAACCTCAGAGCATCTTCTGTAATTCTGTCGGAGGCACAACAAATCTGCCTGGAGTTCATTCCCTGCCGTTTCTGTTCTTAACATGATGAATTAAGTCCGAATCGGGAACATTTCCCATTTAGGGTCAGTATCCTCTTTCTTTTCTTTTTTTTTCTTGCAGTCGGATGCTACATGTCTGAGACATAATAGACTGCTGTTTCTGACTGGATCTCATGGGACGATTCACTGGCAAGCACACCTTCCGCTTCCTCCATCCTTCAGTGTTTCTCCCTAACAACATCCTTGATTCCCACCGTAGGAAGCATGCTGTCGGAAATATACCAATATATATATATCATAACCAGGTGTGAAATTTCCAGGGATAATTTCTGCAATGAAATGAATGTGCAAAAAAAAAAAAAAACAGCCACTGAGGACATCTCACGCATAATTTACAGTCGGCCTTTCACGAGCGCAAAATAAACACCTGTGTGGACGTTAAACATGAAATACTCATTTGATTTGAAAACACTTTATAAGTTTACCTCTATATGACCTTAAAGCTTCTGCTAAGACAACATGGATGTTGCATGATATAAGAGACGTGAAAGTAACGTCAGTTTCAGATACGCAGAACAACATTGCCATGAACAATAGAGATTAGGAATATGCCACAATTACTTAAAGGAGCTGTATGTAAGAACTGTATTTCAATTAGGCCTAATCATAAAATGGCCCTGATGTGTCTCTAGACATTAAGAAATCATGTTCATTTCAAATACTTATATCACTGACAACAGTAGTACGGCCACGATATTGTCATTTAAAAAGTGAAGTTGCAGCCCTCAACTGATGTTGATGTTGTCATCTTGTGTTTTGGCCTGAAGCCCCACCCTCCACCTATCTACCAATCACGAAGTCAGTAGTGTTTCGGCATCCGGGTTGCCAGCTCTGCTCTAGTTGAAAGCTCCTTGTAGCAGCCTACGTTCCTGCTGGATCCTGCAGCCTATCTGGCAACCTCGAGTCAGGGGGGAGGGGGAGGGGATACACCGCTCTACAGTAATTTGAAAGTGATTGCAGTACCAGTTTTGGCCACAAAACTATCTACAGTATCTTCAGCTGTATCTTACATACAGCTCCTTTAATCATCTTACATTTAATTTAGTCAGA